GAGTCTCCCAATGGCGAGTACCATAACGAAATAGAACATATCATAGTAAATAGGAGGTTTTGCCTAACCGATGTCGTTGCTGTTCCAAAACTGCACACGGGATCCGATCGTCGCCTTCGTGGTGCAAGATTCTATTTCTCGCAGAATGGAAAAAAGCCGCTAAATTCAAAAACCGAAGTCCCAGAATCACCGTAAACTGGGACTTATTCAATTCATTAATTGGCTGTTGGGAAGATGCCGTTGTCGATGATATCGACGAAGAACACGATCGGCTCATTCAACATCTTCACGTTAGCGCTGTGAAAGCTGAGAGTTCGAAAGTCACCAAGAGACGTTTGTGCAGACAGGCGATAAAAGAAGGTCTTAAAGAGAGAAGAGCAGCAGTAAAGGTCGAAGCTGCAGAGGCTGGGAAAAGCATTCGCAAAGCCCACAGAAGCTTCGCCAATTACATGACCAAAATAATTGCATTCCAGCGCCCAGAGGGAACAGTTACAGTGTCTAGAAAGGCAATGGAGAAAATCATTCACGAATACCACTCGGATCTCTTCGATAGCCACGTCCACCTTCCGTCATATGAAATAAAGGAGGATGGATATGTTGTACCACCGGTACATCCTTCCGAAATCTGACGTGCTATTTCGTGGGTGAAAAATCGGACAGCACCAGGTCGGGGGAGGAAATGATCTGAGAACCCGAAAAACCTTCCGCCATTTTTCGTAAACACACTGGTTCGGCTCTTCACGCGTTACTTGTCTTAATGCAAGGCTCCTACTCAGTGGAAGACCAGCAAGACCGTGTTATTGTTCAAGAAGGATGATCTGCACGATATCGACAGCTATCGCCCAATCTGCTTACTGTCTGCCGTCTGCAAACTCTTCACTCGAATCGTCCTAAACAGGATTTTCATAACACTGGACGAAGTACAGTCACGTAGACAAGCAGGGTTTCGAAGAGGATTCAATACCGTGGACCACACCCCGCTCTCCTAAGAAGGGTCTTTTTCTCCCCATTTATTTTTACAGTCTAAAGTGTATTTCCTTACCATGAAGTTCGCTCAACGTGCTACTTCCGAACTGTTACAGAACTAGTTTACTTTTTAATAAATTTCTATATTTTTTACTCACTACTCTCTCACAGCTTACCTTGCAAGTTACCGGATCCTTTCTTCCATTGTCTCCTTTGCTTTTCTTCTTCTTGTGCTTTTGTGAAACCGTTGGTTCAACTTCCATGTTAGATTCTTCGCATTTCTTCTTCTTCTTGTTAGCTCGGTGTTTCTTAATAGACTCGTCACCTTTCTCATTTTTTGTTTTCTTAGGCGCTTCTTCTGGTTTCTCACATGATTTAGTCGCTAAATTAATCCTGTTTCACGTTTGTTTAAGTTTAGGTTTATCTCTTAAGCAATAAATAAAGGATTAAGGATAGTACTTTCGCCATCGATCAATCCCTGAAGGATGCGCCATGCATTCGACTTCATTAAACATCGTATTGAATGCATATTTGGCGTTTACAATGACTCGCGCGGTGGCCTACCGATGTATCGAGCCAGTTCTGCCATCCTCCTAGACAGTCTGGTACCAATTTTCAGACTCCGGAGAGAAGGAAGGCCTGGTAGGCCATGGGCGCGGGGATCGATTCCACGTTTGTGTTGCAGGGCGCTTTCGACCGCTGCGCCACATGCCTCTTAAGCAACACCACAAAAAACTTCCTAGCACTAGATATAGTAATTTTACTTAGCTTGCCAGGTTAATCACTGGCTCGATGACGTAGGCTGTTGTTTTTCTGGATTCAGATCTACTCTGAGATTGATTCGAATGGAGAATCGAATAGAAACTCAATGGTTGGATAGTTTAAATTTGAACCCTTTTATTTACTGCCTTTTTTTTCTTAATGGCATGGTATGTTGCGAAATATAACTTGTATGAAATGCTGGACCCGGGACCCGGATGGTGTAGTGGTGAAGTGCGCTGCTCCCCGGTAAGGACAACAGCGCGTGTTCGTTCCCCACTGCATACACCTGTGGTCCGGAGTTTTGCAAATATCTCAGCATTTCATACGTGTTTGAATTTGCTTCCAAATTTTCCAGAAGGAAGCTGGTTTTTGGAGAACTGACGATAATTTTTTGATTAGTAGAGCATTTCAGGACTTTAGAACTTTGTCATTTTATAAAAGAGACTTTGCTCTTTCCAAAATTGCACACATAGCTTTTTTCTACATGGTTCCTTCAAATCTAAACCTCCGAATTTTCGAAAACTCGATAGCGAAGTTAACGTTTCTTATATTTCTAACGAAACGAAAATATAGATGATAAATTGGAGAACACTAGCCTGAAAGAAATCCCACTTGTTTATTTGCTTTCATGCTCGAAGCATGAAGCTTTAAGAAACAAACTGGAAGAAATATTTGTCATTGGTTGCAGAAATTCGCAATTTTATCGTGGCAGAGTAAGATAACTTTAGTCTTGTAGGGAAACATCTGTAGATTCTAGTGCTCGTCATCTCAAACCCAGTGTATAGGTTAATTTAAAATTGAAAACACTCACTATTTTCGCATCATGTGACTCCTACTGAGGTAACGTTGTTGCGTAACTGCTAAGCAAGAAAGCACCCTAACATTGGTGATCAAGGCTTCTGTTCCGATTAACTATGATGTTCTGAATATATTAATGAGATCTCTACAATGTCCTTCCCATATAATCACGGAACACTACAGAGATTAACCCAACAAGGAAGAATACTGAGCCGATAACGTCTCATCAAAGTTGTTCAATGCCGTAGTACAGTTG